TGCTCTCCCAGCATCCACAGAGCCAATCAGGTTGGTCAAGCATGACTTGCCCTTAGTGAATCCATGCTGACTGTTCCTAAACCACCATGACTTTAAGGATAATGGCCAGTGGCTCTGCAATCAATCACACTGGCCAACTCACCCAGCTTCCTTGGGTGCATTGCATCCAGCCCTGTGGACTTTGACATCTCCAGCTTTTCTAAATAGTCCCTAACCTGTTCTTTTGCCACCATTGGCTTCTCACCTCCTCCCCAAACTGTGCTGCCAGGTGCAGCAGTCTGGGAGCTGGCCTTGCCCAAGGACTGAGGTGAAAAAGGCATTGAGTATGTCTGCCTTTTCTGCATCCTCTGTCACTAGGGGAGTTTTTACATGTGGTCTGGGAGTGGGGAGGAGAGACAGCTTTAATTAGAGCAGCTCCAAGAGCCACTCTAATTAAAGCACCCGGAGTATCTCATGTATCAGCATCCCCAGGCCTCAAAATGGCAGTGGGGGCACTTTATCTAAAGCTTACCAAACAGGAACAACTAAGATTTGGCCCACTGCGCCTATTACCATTTAGAATAATCCTTCAATCTTTTTATAGAAAAGAGATTAGAGACAAGTATAGGTGTCTACATTTTCTCTTTATTAACTATATGCACTTGTGAGCACTCTGGTTGAGGGCTTCATCCATATAACTCCCATTCATTTCAATTTAAAATACCAGAAATGCATAGTTGTGGAACCACAGAAACTGGCAGAGAAATTGAGAGGCAGACCTAGCATTTGATACTTCTTTTAACTAACTTTTTTTAATGAACTGGATTTCAAGATGCGTGAATTTGAAGTGTCTGTTTTCTTGCTATCTATGACTTCCGCCATGCAATGAGATCCACACATGTGAACATCAATCACCTCCTCCCTCACTGTGGGGGCCTTGATCTGCCTCTCACCCCTCCCCCTCCACAGACTTACCTGCTTGGTGGTGCTTGTGTGTGTGCGCCTGTGTGTGTGTCTGTTCTTTACTCCCAAGCCACAGCCCCCCACAGGCCTGCTGTTTCCCCTCACTCCTATCCCACATCCTGCCAGGGCATGCAGGGTCCAAACCCCGCTCCCCCACACCCTCCTCCTTACCATGCAAAGTACCTGCATAATTCTGAGGTTTTAGCTGTGTGATTAAAATTGTGAATAATTGCAACTAACTTTTTTAATCATGCAACTAATTGCAATATTTTTTTAATCGTTTGACAGCCCTAGATTTGGGTGCCCCCCAGATTTGGCCACACATCCCGTGCCTGCCTGGCAGCAGGAAGCACAACATGGCATTGCACAGTTCCCAGGACAAAGACAGCAGTGCACAGAGCCCCACCCTGCAGTGGTCAGCCTCCATCCACTCTGCACACAAATCCTGGTAGCACATGCTGCTCATGCCTCCCCTGGGAGTATGTATGGTGGCAGGAAGCTATGCCCCCACATCCCCCTGGACAAGCCACCTGCAGCTCTGTCTCACAGCCTGCCCTAACCCCAGGGCTCTATTCACCCAAGCACCTGCCCCACTCCCTCCCTCACTATAAGGGCCTCAATCTACCTCCCTACCCCTTCCCTCTCCCCCTGCCCCTGCCCCTCCCCCTCCCCCTCCAGAGACTTACCAGTGCAGCGCTGCTCTACATGCAGCATACAGGCTGCAGCTGCTCCTGTGTGTCTGTGTCTATGTGTGCCCACTGCCCCCTGCTGCAGCCACTCAGAGCCCATGCCCAGGCTGCCCTGTGGTTCTTTGTGTTGCCACCGCTGCCCTGCTGGGAGGCCTGGAGGCGATGGAGTGGAGCCCAGGTGTGGGCTCGAAAACCACATGCACAATTAACGAGTTAAAAAAATTAATGTAAGATCCAACTAGTGTGTTAATCACACACGTTAACTGTGATTAATTGACAGCCCTATATATAAAAACACAGACCTTCATGAACTCGAGTTTACTTCATAAGATTCTGCGGAAGGACAGCACAGAGCAAAGAATAAAGTGGCATGAGAGATTAGAGTAATAGGTGGGAAAGCAGGAGAGAGGAAAAAGGGAGGAGTGGGGAGGGGAAGTGCTGAAAGAGGCATACAAGCAAGAACCCATAGGGATAAAAGGGTCACAAAAAACAAAACAAATGAAGAAAAAAAAACTTATCTAGTGTGCGCTGTGGTCAGAAGGTAAAACTGCAGGATGGACAGCTCCAAGCTAGTTTTAATCTACCTGTTACATCTATCCTGCACATATCATAGATTTCATAGACATTAGGGCTGGAAGGGATTTTGGAAGATCATCAAGTCCAGCCCCCCGCCCGAAGGGCAGGAAGTCAGCTGGGGTCATAGGATCGCAGCAAGATAAGCATCCAATTTTCTCTTGAAGGTGTTCAAAGTAGGTG